CATACATAATTAGTTGAGGCGAGGGCTGAGGATAGGGGTGATCTCCTCTCCCCCCCCCCTCGCCTCTCCCACAACAACAACGAGCAAGGGGGGGGAGAGCAGAGAAAAAGAGAGCGAGGAATATTTGATGTCCTTGAACGCCTGAGTGTCACGGCATAGTAATAGACTACGGGACCTCGCTTCAAGGTAGTTCATTATACTTTGAGAAATGTAGAGACACATCACACGCTTCACCAAGGAGTTAGTTACATCACAGATTCCTATTGATCATGCGAAAAGGACAAAATGAAATTAGGAAGAAGTTGCTAGGGACAAAGCGTGAAGAAACGAAGAAGGGAACAGAAGAAAAGAAAAGGCAAATGTGAGAGCAAGCAAAAAGACAAAGATATAATTGAGAAGAAATTGTAAAATACAGTGGATTAGACTGGTCGTGACGGCGTGAAGAAGAGAAAAAAAAACGAAGTAAACAGAAGGCAAAAAGGTAAATGCGGGTGCGAGCAAAAAGGACAGATAGAATTAGGAAAGAACAAAGAAGAAATGAAAGTATGAAAATACAATGAAAGTATGAAAATACAATGAAAGTATGAAAATGAAATGAAAGTATGAAAATACAATGAAAGTATGAAAATAAGAAAATGAAAGTATGAAAATATAATGAAAATATAAAAATGAAAGTATGAAAATACAATGAAATTATGAAAATACGAAAGTATGAAAATACAATGGCTTTATCGAGAAGAAAATAAGGAAATAAGGGAAATGATTATTAAGGGTGATACTGTGTGATTGCGAAGATTTGTATTAGAGATAAAGAAGGTGTGGATGTAGATCAAATAAAGATGATAAATAATTAAAGTTAATATCAAACGAGAATCTAATACTTTCCTTGGGAGAAGAGGTTGTGAAATATACACTCTATTTCCTGGAAAAATTACAATGCGCTATTTTACATAAATATCTGTAGAACAGAATTTATAACAGTGAGTGTAAATGCAAGCTCACAGAATTAAATGTGGAACGGATTTAGAGATAGTGGAAGTCATTAGTGGAGGGAATGTGGAAAGGTTAATGGCTAAAATAAAGTGGACACGTGTGAGGGACAGAGGAATGTACGTAAGGAAGCTGACAAATGACACCATGTGATTCGAATAGATTGATGATAATGGGAGAGAGGGACAGAGGCTGGTGGACGGACAGACAAGCAGTGTGTGTGTGTGTGTGTGTGTGCGCGCGCACGCGCGCGTGGGTGCCAGTGTGCGTACGGCTGTGCGTGCGTATGCGTGCGTGCATGCGTGCGTGCCTAATTATTATCCAATAAAAGACATCTATCTATCAGTTATTATCTCACTCTCCGTTCATATAAGCACTTAGCAGGAAGCATTTCCCCATCAATCTATTTCCACATGAATCCACACTGAAACACCCACACCTTGTCTTCTCTTCACTACGCAGTGTTACCGGACTTTTGTTGGAAGCCACGGGCCATACCAGCGGCGGGTATTATTGGGTATCATTTGCCCTACCAGTGTTCTTGCCGCTATGACAGTGAGTACCTTGTTTTCGGTATTTGGCTGGGTCGACATTACTTTATTTTTGGTATTTGGAAGGGTCGAAATTGTTGTTGAAATAGATACTTTTTCATGCGTATTTTTGTCTTACTATGTACTTGATTTTTTCTTACTCTCTCTCTCTCTCTCTCTCTCTCTCTCTCTCTCTCTCTCTCTCTCTCTCTCTCTCTCTCTCTCTCACACACACACACACACACACACACACACACACACACGCTCACGCTCACTCTCATTCTCTATTTATCTGTCACTCTCTATCACTCTCTCTCTCTATGAAGTAAATTAATGTTGATGATGGATTGTAAGAAACGCAAGAAGTGTTTTGATTTACACGTTTGTTTTTTGTTGTTGTTGTAGTTGATAGACCGTAGGGAAAGGTAGTTGTGTTTTGTTTGCAAATTTTTGTTTGTTGTTGTTCGTGATAGAGTGTAAGTTGTAGTGTGGTGTTTGTTGTTGCTGATAGATTGTGAGAGAAGTTGTCGTGTTTTGGCTTGTTAGTTGTTGATAGATTGTAAGAAACTGGAGTAGCGTTTGGTTTGCAAATTGCTGTTGTTTGTGATAGACTGTGAGAGAAATAGTGTTTCACTTGCAAATGTTGTAACATGTAAGGAGTGGCCTTGCTGTTGATTGTCCTTAACAACTTAATAATCTGTCATTTATTGCTCTCAGAAGAAGGATGTTTATTTGTTGTTTCTTGTCCTTCTGGTATATTATAGGAGCGGGTGTCATGCTGTGAAAGTGTTTGAAAGATTGCTTAGGAGTTTCATTTTTTATGTACTGTACTCATTATATTCCACGGCGAAGATATTGATAATACACCGAAAATTCACACATTACAACTCTGAAAGAAACTACACCAATACTAACCACTCCTACATAATTAAAATCGACTTCTTTTTTTTTTACAGCATAGGTCGACGATAAATGTTCTACATAGCGCTCCTCATCCACATAGTCTTCACACTGCCGGCTGTGTGGGTATCAAATTACGGCTTTCACCTTACATTCAGGTTCTTTGCCGGTCTACATGATGCCTTATATTATAAGTGAGGACGAGAAGGTGGCCGGACTGTGTGATTCAGCCTTCGAAATCTATTTTCTAGCACACTGACTTGTTACTTTTTTAATCTTTCTTTTTCGACTTTGTTTCCTTTTTTTCTCTCTTTTTTACTATCTCTGTTTCTCTCGCTCGCATGCTCTCTCACTCTCTAATTCTCTCTCTCTCTCTTCTCTTCTCTTCTCTTCTCTTCTCTTCTCTTCTCTTCTCTTCTTTTCTCTTCTTCCGCAATTTTATTCTCAAAGAGAGAGAGCGAGCGTACCCACTTTACTTCATTTGCCTCACAACAATGAAGACCAAAGCCCTCTCTCCCTCCCTCCATCTTCCTCCCTCCAACTTCCTTCCCCCTCTCTACCCTCATCTTTCATCCCTTCTCCCTCTCCCCCTCCTTCCTCTCCTTCTCCCTCTTCCTCTCCTCCCTCCATCTACGAAGTCCCCTCCTTGCCTCACTTGCCTTCACAGCACACAAAACCAAAACAACTTTTCCTCACCAGGCTTAGAGTTCCTCTCCCCGGACAAACGCACAGCGGCCACCCTCTTTTCCTTCGCGTCGTGGACTTTCGGCATGTGCCTGACGTCCCTCGTCTCGTGGCTCCTTCCTAGTTGGCAGTACTTGGCACTCGTATCCTGCGTTCCCTCCGCCCTCGCCTTCGCTTACTGGTGGTGGTGAGTCAAGGGGAGGTGTGCGTGTGTGTGTAGATAGATTGACACGGAGAAATAGAGAGGGAGAGAAAGATGGACAGACAACACGTGCATACATACGCACACACACACGCACACGAACACGCACGCACGTACACACATACATACACACACACACACACACACACACACACACACACACACACACACACACACACATACATATATATATACATATATATCCATGTACATATATATATATATACCTGTGAGTGTGTACATATGTATACATATATATTTATATACATTTGCATATACATATATACACATATGCATATATACACATACACCCATATACTTATACATAAACACACACACACACGCACACGTGTGTGAGTGTATGTATATATATATATATATATAGATAGATAGATATATGTATATGTATGTATACATATATACATATTTAGTCATTAATTTATTTCTTTGGAATTAAATCAGATGAAACCGTAATATGTATTGTAATCTTAATATTTCGTGGGTTCTTTACCTGTAAATGCAAACTTGCAACCAGAAATGAGCAACAGCAAATCATTAATTCAAGAGACATATCACCAAAAAGACAAATATGCGCTGAAAATAGGCAATTGATAACGAATAATTCCAGAATGCAATGTGTAATTGACGTTCAGATATTAAGCAGATTCGGAATTACGTAATGCTGTTATCTGTTGAAGGGTAATATGAATATTTGGCATCCTTCTGTTGCGTAATGTCTATTTTCCTTTGTTGTGTTATTCATTTTCTTAAGCCGTGTGACAAATTATCCCTGTGGGTTTATTTATTCACGTGTGTTCTTGTTCCATTTTTCACCGTGGTTTTGTACGTTTTCCTTACGTCTCTCTTCCTGTTTTTTTTTTGTTTGTTTGTTTGTTTGTTTTTATATATATATACCCCCTCTTCCATTTTTCACTTGTGGTTTTTTATCTATTCTTTTACGTCTCTCTTTCTGATTGATACATCTTTTTTTTTTTTTCGTTTCTCCACAGTCTCTGTTTTGGATTTGTTAATTCTCTTCCATATTCACTTTTGATTTATTCATTTTCTTGCGTCTCCCCTGCATTTTATCGTGGCTTTGATTATTCTCTGACGTTCCCTTCCTTCGTTTTCTCTCGTTGTTTGATTCATTAAATTACGTTCTTGCTTGATTTGTATTGTTACTTGAATCATGCTATTACACGTGCTTTCTATTATCCTTGTTGATTTATTGTATTTTTCTCCATCTTCTTGATCTTTTTATTTACTTTATTTGTTTACTTTTACTACCATCATCATCACCATCATCATCATCATCACCATCATCGTTGTCATCATCACCATCTCCATCACCATCACTATCACCATCACTATCACCATCATCATCATCATTATAATTATATTTGTTCATTCTCCCACACCCATTTCCATCGTCAATTAACCCATTATCTCATGTTTCCTTTCTAATTTTCTTAACACAATCCACTCGATGTTCAATATTCCCATAACCAGGTACCGTGCGTGTGTGTGTGTGTGTGGTTGTGTGTGTGTGTGTGTGTGTGTGTGTGTGTGTGTGTGTGTGTGTGTGTGTGTGTGTGTGTGTGTAGACGCGAGCGTGTGGGAGCATATGCTCGAATTCAGCAACTGATTATACATGTTCCAAACTCCCTCTCTTTTCCGTACAGATAAATGGGTGATGTTAGCCATGGTCGCTTTCATCAGACTCTTCTGCACGCAACTCATCTACGTCGTTTACGTGCAGTGCACAGAAATCTTCCCCACGCCCATCAGGTCTACGGGGCTGGCCTGGCTGATCGTCTGCGGGCTGGCCACCATGATTTCCACGCCTTTCCTTCTGTACGTGAGTTGTCTGGGGATTATGTGCGAATGTGTATTGTGTGTGAATGTGTATGTGTATGCATGTGTGTGTGTGTGCGTATGTGTGTATGTAAGTAAGTATGTAGGAATGTGTATGTATATATGTATGTATGTGTGTATGTATGTATATTTATTCCAACATATACATATAATATATAGATCATTTCTGAAATGAATATCAAGAACCTTATTGACTATTTTAATTTCCTAAAGAGTTTTTTTTTTTTTTTTTTGAGAGAGAGAGAAGAGAGAGAGAGAGAGAGAGAAAGAAAAACAGAGAGAGAGAGAGAGAAACAGAGAGAGAAAAAAACAGAGAGACATTGAGAGAGAGAGAGAGGAAGAAAGAGAGAGAGAGAGTGACAGACAGACAGACATTTAAAATCCCATCCCTTCTTCTTAGTCCGGCATCGGGGAGGACTTCCCTTGGTGGCTGCTACTGGCGCTGATGCTCCTGTGTGCATTTCTGGGCACCTTCCTGCCGGAGACCATCGGCCTGCCCTTGCCCCAGTCTTTCCAGGACGCGGAGGACCTGGGAAGCGGCCGGCCTCTTAGGGTTTGGTGACACTGCCATATAACCTCTCAATAGTGAAATGAGAGAGGCCTATGTCGTGCAGTGTAATGAATGGCTATTAGAATAAAGAATATATATATAGCATGACCTCCTAGGATGTCCCACGGGCCTCCTCCATCCAGGATTCTCTCGCAGTGAGGTAAGCTGATGAGCAGGTTATCCACGGGGAAACGAGCTAGGTGTCAATATAGTCTGAGTTAGCGGTCCCGGATTATGCAAGTAACAGTTCCATGGTGTAGCCGTCGGTTTGACACATGGTTCTGCTAAAGCAAAACTGGCAGTATCAAGACCTTGAAGACACGTAGCTTGGTGCTTCTGCATAGGTACCGACATCTCCAAATGCTCTTGCTGATCGAGTTCATGGCTCCTGCTGCCAGAGCAAACCGTCTACTGACTACTTGGTCTGACAGCCCAATGACATGAACCACGCTATCAAGGTATGCAAAGTTCTCTGTGACTTTCGCGTCCTCATCGTAAGCATGTATTGGCTGAACGGGTTCTTCTAGCAGGTCCCCAAAGTCATGAATCTTGGTCTTGGTCCAGGAGACCTCGAGGCCCAAAGGCTTCGCCTCATTGCTAAATGCATTATGAGCCGCCACCAATGATTCCAGAGATTAAGAGAGGATAGCAACACCGTCGGCAGAGTCAAGCTTTGTGATCTTGATAATGCCCACTGTTGCTCCACACTGTCTTTGGATAGTAGCTCTGCCCATTATCCCGTCCATGCAGGTGTTGGAAAGTGTTGGTGCCTCAACCCTCATTAACAGGCCCCCACCACACTTTACAGCACTTTCAGTACCGGTATATAGGCTTGTTGTTAGGCTAAAAATCTGTGTTGGAATTCCCCTAAGTCTCAGAATCTCCCATAGCAATTATCGATGCACCGAGTCAAACGCCTTAACCCATTGCCGACGGGGAAAATGAATAAAAAATGGGGAAATGCTGGGCTCATTTTTCTCTCTGATGTATATGTGTGTGTGTGTACGTATACATGAATATATACTCACATACACGTATACATACATATATATGTATGTATATGTATATATTTATATGATTCTTATATATACTATGTGTGTGTATGTGTGCGCGCGCGCGTGTGTGTGTGTCCGCGCATATATGTATACTGTGTATATATATGTATATGTATATGTATATATATATACACACATATATATGTATGCATGTATATATCATGTATATATACATATATATATAATGTGTGTATATATATACATATATGTATGTATATATACATACATACATATACTGTATATATACATACATATGTATACTGAATATATACATACATACATACACACACACATATATATATTATATATATTTACATATATACTGTATATGTATGTATATACCTATACTGTGTATATATATTTGTATATATGTATGTGTGCATACATATATATATACTGTATATATATATACATGTATACTGTATATATATATACATAGATATACATGTTTATATAATATATATATAAATATATATACATATTTACATATAGATATTTATATATAGCTGTGTGGTTGTATGTGTGTTTGTATATGTGTGTGTCTGTCTGTCTGTGTGGGTGTGCGAGCGTATGTGCTTGTGTATAAATACATATCCATACGTCTAAAACGTACGTATTTGTATTTTCCCATTTTTCTTTTCGAAATACAACACCCTTTTACAGACAAATATCCCTCCGATGCAAAATGTATTAACGTAACGAAATTACATGTTGTTTTGCCCTGGACTGCTATGAGGCGCTGAGATGCCCAAGTCTCCTGGTCTTCTTAGCAAGGACGTTCCTTTGTTACCGACATGCCTGGGTATCACCTCAATTAACGGGTACCGACAGTGAAAGCATTTCAGAACAGCTACTTCGTTGAATTGATAGATGTACATGAATCAGAAAAAAAATGTTCTGTTGCGCTCCTTTTGAATATGTGTACGTGTCTTGAAAGCCACAAACAGGTTCCGGTTATTTCAGTTTATTTTTGTGTGTGTGGAAGAGATGGAAGGGAGAGAGAGGGAGGACGGGAAAGAGAGGGAGGAAGGGCAGGAGGTAGGGAAAGAGAGAGAGAGGGGGGGAGGGAGAGCATGGAGGGAAGTAAGGAGGGGGGGAGGGAGGTATAACTTTTTTACGAGAGAGGGTAAGGCTTGATACTGAATAATTCATACTTAATTTTAATCTTTCCATAGATACAGATATCCCTTGTTAAAAATACAAAAAAGAACATACATATGAGTGAGGTAGATTTCAGCCAAGGATGGTTCTATATTTTTCATTTCTATATTTTTCGCTCTATCTACTTGTGTTTCGATAGAATAAATACAGATTAATTTAAATGTATGAAGTTTAGAAAATAATAATAATAAAAGAAATTCTAAAAAATGGAATTTACGTCACTTGGGGGATAATTAGTGACTTATTACATGGCGTCCTTCTCTTGGGTAATGTAAGGGGGAGTGTAACATCTGTCCGTTTTTGTACAGTCTAGTAAACTGAAACCTTTAGTTCTCCTTTTCACATGTATTTAAACCTCTCTTGAGTTCAAGATTGTCAGGTTCCTCAGACGAGACTGGCATATACCTGTGTTGGTTCCAGTGGTGGATCCAAGTCATAAGGGGTCGTCCTGTGCCCACTTTCTCAGCGTCTTCGAAAGTCTGGGGAAGTGGTAGGCCTATGGTCTCTGGGAGGAACAGACCTAGGAAGGCACCGAGTAACATGAACGATGCGAGGAGCCAGTAAGGAAAAGAGTCACCATAGCCCGACTGGGGAGGAAAAACGGTTGCTATAATAATTGGAGATTTTTTTTTTTTTTTGCGAATAATTAAAATCGAGGGAAAAATGGAACTACTATTAGAATTATTCGTATCATAATTCATATCCATATCACGTGTCCTATTACCGAAAAAATATCCTATAAAATATACCAGGTTCATCATCTAGTAACCATTACAACTACAGTAATGCCTAACACATAATACCACAAAACAAAGAACGCAAAATACATACATGAAGAATATATGGGGTTGCTACCATGGCTGCCATTCCACACACCACCATCCAAGCGAACCCAGTGGACCTGATCGGCGTGGGAAAGATCTCTCCACTCTGAATCGTCACGATGTATATAAGCTGTGTGGAGAAGAGCCTGATGCATGCAGCTACGGCCAGCATCGCCCACTTGTCTGAAGTAAACAGAGAAAATGTTAGCGGTGCGTTATATATGGAACTCAGGGTTAAAAAACAGTGGAAATCCCTAAAAAATATATACATTGTATATATGTAGATTATATTATATGTGTGTGTGTGTGTGTGCGTATGTATACATACAAAAGATTAAAAAACATGTGCTGTGGTATATTCCACTTAGCGGGAGGGGGGGGAGAGGTAACTGGGAAGGAAGTCACGTTCGTCCGCTACGGTGTCCAGCAAGAAAGAAAAAAAATATCAATTCTAATAAACACGTCAAAAAAAATGTTAATCCAACCTTCAAGACAGAAAGTCGCCGCAACACAGAATGCACCAGTTGTGAGGAAGGAGAGGATGCAGGTGCAGCGACGACCGAGGTAGTGCGTACACACCCAGCCGAGGCCGTTGCTGGGGAGCTCCGAGAGGGACAACACGAAATGGCTCAGGAAAAAGTTGCTCGAGAGAACAGTGACTCCGAGGAACACCACGCCATAAATCAAGAAAGTGCAGGCACTGAAAAAGAAGCATTTATTTTAACTCTATGGGTAACAACGGTGGTTGATATATATATATGAATATATATCAATATGTATATGTATATATATGAATATATATCAATATGTATATGTATATATATGAATATATATCAAAATGTATGTATATATGAATATATATTAATATAATATACATAGATATACACACATACGTGTGTGCATATGTGTACACATAAGCAATTGCTGATATGTGGGCATAACCATAAATACCTCCTACATATTTTTAAAAATGCACTTGAATGAATGTTTTCTTTGAAAACCTGTATCATGTGTTAATATATTTGGCATTTGGTAGTTTAAGGAACTGGAAATAAGTATTTTTTTGTGCAGAATAAAAGTAGTAAAATGTCAGCTTCTCTCATTAGTAGCTAGCATCGGACACCCTTCTACCACTGCCAATGATCAAGCCTTTGTTCCTAAGCTGTACGTAGCCTATACAAGAGGTACAAAATGATATTTGTACCTGTACACACAGAAACAGACACACATGCACAAACATAATCACACACATACACACGTAGTTATAAACATACACACAGAAATAAAAAACATACCAACTACCCAACACGAGAAGAATATTAACACTAAATACTAATAGCAGGAAAAAAGATAAAGTCAAATCACTCACCTCATGTATAACAGTATGAGGGCCCTCAGGCGAAGCTTCGGGTAACGAAGGATTTCAAAGAGTGACACTTCTTTTTCCTGTCGCTCCCACAGTATGCGCAGCTCGGCCTCCAACTGCTCGCGGGTTACTTCGGTCTTGTGGTTCGAGCGGGCTACCTGGGTATTGTTTTTGATATTACTGGATGTGTGTGGGTGAGTGTATGTATATACACACACACACATATATATATATATAATTGTATATATATGTGTGTGTGTATTTATGTATATATAACGAGAGCATGGTCACATAATGGAAAGCTTAATTGTAATGCCAGTAATTTATACTCATTAAAAGACTAACAAAACATACTTATAAGTTTCTTCAAAATCTGTAAGGGAATTTTATTTACAGATGCAAAGGAGACTTGGAGAGAAGGACGAATTCCCAAAGGGGGGGAGGGGGTAGTTAAAAGGTTAAGAACCACTGATAATACTAACAGAACCATATAACAATAATTCTAAAAATATAATGTAAAGGTAACGGAAAAAAGTTATGTAAACCTGATCATTATAGTGTCATAAAATCCAGAGTATTTTATTTTTTTGTTATCCTGAAGCTAATAGTGAATAATGTAATTATGTTGTGAAAGAAACTTAAATTATTCATAATATTGAGATCAACAAAATTTCCCAGTGACATGATGAAAAATCTGGGAGTTGATGGAAATGAGAAAATACAGGAACGTTGTGGAATTTTCTTTTTTGTGATGCTTTTTCTTCTAGTTTAATTTCACTATAATTCTTATAATTTCGACTCGTTCTCGCACATTATACTTCTTTTACATCTCTGCCTACCTGTCTCTCTCTCCTTCGCGCTCTCTCTCTCAATCTATTATCTATTTTATCTATCTACGCCTATCTATATAGCTATCTAGTTACTTATCTAGCTGTCTGTCTTTCTTTCTACCTTTCTGTTTGTCTACCTACCTGTCTACGTGTCAACCTATTCACCTATCACTCACTCTCTGTCTCATATTCCATCTACCTTTCACTCTCTTGCTCTCTCTTTCTATCTTTTCATTTCAATCTCATCCTCCCCAAACAGACACACACATATATTTATGTGTGTGTGTGTAAGTAAATAGATAAATAAAAGTTTCCTTAGTGAAAGCCATACCAGTAAGAGATTCGTGGCACATTCACTTATTTTCCCTTGAGACAGAAGCCAGCGCGGGGACTCTGGAAGGTACCTGGAAAAGTTGTGATATTGGGTTAACAGAAGGAAAGAGGGTTTGGTGGCAGTCATGAAACTTGTATTTGGTGTATAAACAGAGAGAGAAATTAATAAATTACTATTTTTTCTCTAAATTACCCTGATATAGGTCTGGTTATAGCTTCAAAATGTCACCAGATTAGATCCTTTTTCTATCTTTTGTTCGCTTCGCACGTCTATCCATCCTTGCCTCCCACAAGAAAAAGTCGAAATGACGCCCTTGATACAAATCATGTACCATCTCCCGCTACATAAATTCGAAACAAAGCTATAATTTAGTGTGATAGTTTTGCCGTGAAATTATATCGCTAATTGAGGATTAGCTCACCAATTTAACATGTGATATGCTCGAGGCTAATGCAAGCGATGTTAATGAGCTGTCAGATAATCCTCTCCTCGATCTTGGTTGTGTTTATTAAACCTTGTGGTTACCTTTGTCTAGTGTTGAAAGGGTTAAGTCATGCGTGGCAAAACGCAGACATTTTTTATTTATGATTTTTTTTCTCTCAGACTGTATAGGTTTGTCTGTCTGCTTGAATCTGTGTGTGTGTGTGTTAGTGAGAGAGAGAGTGTCTGTGTGCGTCTCTCTCTCTCTCTCTCTCGCTCACTCTATCCATTTTCTCTCTCGCTCTCTGTCTATTTTCTCTCATTTTATTCTATCTACCTATCTGTCTGTCTATTCTCTCTCTTTCTATTTCTCCATGTACGTCTCTCTCTCTCTCTCGGTGATCATTCGTCATTAATTTGACTAAACAGTTTACGAAATATAGTGGTATTTTCTAAAACAGTCCTAGTTAAGCATATGAATCCTCTGTAACGGATCTTTTACTGTTTCACGTGCTTTGACCAATCGTCTTTCGCAAATCGCTTCCAAAATTACATTCAGATCAGTGTAATACTTTAGCCTAGTATGTTTCATATTCTTCCCTAATTTTTGACATAATGCTTTATCTAATATACTTACTTGCTGCATTTACTCGTACTTTTATAGTGCAATATCCTTCAGCTGAGAAGGCATTCGAACAGATAGTGTAACATAGTTGTGACGTTACATATCCACTTCTCCTAACTCACCTCCAGAAGTAATCGATATTTAACATCACAACTGCGTCACGCTTTAATTGTTCGTATGTCCTTTTGGCTTAAGAATACTTTGTGAAAGCCAAGAGTAAACACTAATTAGATACATTTGGTAATAGTGTCAAAAATTAGGGCAATGTGTGAAACATACCGTGCTAAAATACTGACCTGACCGTTCATTTGGAGGAAATCTTCCTTGGTGGATCATGGCCCCTGAAATGCATAATAATTTAGGTCAAAGAGTGTATGGATTTTAACAATCTTAATTAAGTTTATGTTTACACCTATATCTGGCCATGATTCATAGGATGTTGAAGTGAACATTCACACACACACACCACCCTGCACACGCCACAGACAGCGACGCAAACAAACGCAAACCTCTAACCCGCCCATTCCACACACATACACAAACACCCTCATCCCCCACTCCCACCCCATCCCCAGACACAACCAAATAGCACACTCAAAACTCACCTCCAGTAAAGGAACCCACAAACAGCTGGAATGCACGAGATCACTACCAGATATTGAAACCTCGGGATCAGCCATCCCGTAAGTGATGTCATACATATGCCGAAGGTCCAGGCAGCAAACGTGACGAGGGAACCTGTAGTGCGTTTTTCTGGAGCTAGGAACTCAAAACCTGTGAAGAAACACATGGATACGTAGCATTAATGATAGTTTTATATGGATAGGTAGAGTAGTAGGAGTCTATGCAAAGTATTTAGATAGAGATAAGACCTTGTACCAAAAAAAAGGCTAGGGATAATAACTCAAGAACTAAAACGGGGGAAAACTTAGTGAATATATAGCCTTTAAGATTATCTGGGTGTATACGGATATATATGAATAGGTAGAGAGAACGTGCACTCACTGAGGTTAATAAAAGGGGAAAAAATAGGGAACGTCTTGACGATATATTTATATAGGTAGCAGTAATAATAATAATAATGATAACAATAATAATAATGATGATGATGACGATGATGATGATAAAAATAGTAATAATAATGATAATGATAATAATAATAATAATGATAATGATGATAATAATAATGATAATGATAATAATAATGATAATATAATAATAATGATAAGGATCATCATAATAATAATAATAATGATAATGATAATGATGGTTATGATGATGATAACAATAATAATAACAATAATGATAATAATAATAACAATAATGATAATAATAATAATTACTACTACTATCGTTATTTTCTTATCATTATTACATTTTTATTATATTTATTATTATAGTCATTATTATAGTTATTATTTTCATCATTTCATCTTATCCATCATCATTATCATTATCAACCATCATTATTATTAAAAATATCATTTTTATCAATATCACCAGTAAGATTGTCATTAATATCACAATCCTTTTTATAATATTTTTTATCATTATCATAAATTCTATCATCATCCTCATCATCACTATCATCATTATTATCATCATTATCCCTCTCATTATCATTATGAGTATCAGTTTTATTACTGTTGTTATCACGAGTGAGAAATTAAAAATATTACGAATAGAAAAAAAATGTTAAGTTTTTCTTCATCCTTAGGCAAGTATCTCTTACGAGTCAAGTTGGCAATGTTTGTACTCTGGAAATAAGTTTACAAAATAACATGACGATATAACAAACATGAGCTTGAGGGCTCTGTTTCTTAACTTTCTTGGCCAAAGAGAGTTCATTCACCAAAGAAAAAAAAGAAAGATGTTAGTGCATCTTCTTTCTGATTACATTAGTGTATGAAAGAAAATGAAATGAAACGTTCAATTTAGAGATAAAAGCAAAAACATCCCAATTGTTTTGTGGAAAATAGATTCGCCCTCAGACAGTAAAATAAAATAAAATTAAAATTAAAATAATAATAATAAATAAAATAAAATAAAAAATATTCTGTATAGTAAAGCGATAGAACGAGAGAAAGCGTTTTAGAATTTATCACCATCATTATCATTGTCATTATCATTATCATTATCAACCATCATTATTATTAAAAATATCATTTTTATCAATATCACCAGTAAGATTGTCATTAATATCACAATCCTTTTTATAATATTTTTTTATCATTATCATAAATTCTATCATCATCCTCATCATCATCACTATCATCATCATTATCGTCATCATTATCCCTCTCATCAGTATGAGTATCAATTTTATTACTGTTGTTATCACGAGTGAGAAATTGAAAATATTACGAATAGAAAAAATATAAGTTTTTCTTCATCCTTAGGCAAATATCTCTTACGAGTCAAGTTGGCAATGTTTGTACTCTGGAAATAAGTTTACAAAATAACATGACGATATAACAAACATGAGCTTGAGGGCTCTGTTTCTTAACTTTCTTGGCCAAAGAGAGTTCATTCACCAAAGAAAAAAAAGAAAGATGTTAGTGCATCTTCTTTCTGATTACATTAGAACGAGAAAGGTGAAAAAAATAAATACTGGAAGAAAGAGAACAAACAAATAAAGAAAGAAAGACATAAAAGAAAAATAAATAAAAAACTAAGAATGAAAGAAAAAAAGAAAATATAGGAACGAAATAAGAAAAGAACAAACGAAGGAAAAACACCTACCAGAGATATAAGACATCATATTGATCGTCTCAAATGCAAGTCCTGCAACGAATTTCAGGGCGCAGATGACGCCATAGTTAGACACCCACGCAATGGGGAAGGTGAAAACTGCGTGTATAGCAAGAGCCACGTAGAACATTAGCCGGCGACCTGTACTGTGATAAATTACTTCATTAAATTACTGTAATTAATTATTGATGTTTTATTGCTAATATAGAGGTATAGAAATCAATATGAAGTATAGTCGTGTTCACTAGGCGACCTGGAATGGATATTTTGTTCTAAAATTTCATAAGTAAAGAACAAATATATGAATTAATGGGATATATTCGAAACAGATCATAGATTATTTCTAAATGTTCTCTTTATGTAGATATAGCATACATTGAAATACATTTACGTGTTGATAAAGACACTTAAAATAGATCACAGATTATTTCCAAAGTCTCCTTAAATAAAGACATAGACTTCAAAAATTTATATTCTCCTGATAATAAAGTAACAGGAAATAGAACATACACTGTTCCTAAAAGTTTCCATAGAAAAAAATATATATATATAAATCACCATAAAATACTTACAGTCTATCAGCAATCACCGGGAAGATCGCAGTGCCAACGGTATGGCCCGCTTGATTGAGAGAATAGATGTGGTTGATATAGTCTTTCCGCTCACAAAACCACTCGTTTTTAGTTGACATTGTCTCCAGAAACTCGGACGTGTCGTGTTCCCAACCTTGCTCACAGGCTGCAAAGAGGGAGAAGCGTTTTAGAATTTATCACCATCATTATCATTGTCATTATCAGTATCATTATCGTTATCACCATTATTGTCATCATCATCACAATCATCATTAATTCGGAACATGGGAAAGCACGCCATGCCACAACATACCTTCCGTGATGTTGTGGATAAGGAATGGTTCCTCTGCTCCTTCCTCCAGCCACTCCACCTTATACCGGGAACAGCTTGAGAATTTGCCGGATTCTCTGCGGAACATAAGTTTAAGCAAATCCCTTGCCTATCTCTGTTTGTCTGTATATACATATGTATATATATTTATATATGTGCATCTGTATACATATGTATGTGTGTGTGTGTGAATGTGTGTGTGTGTGTGTGTGTGTGTGTGTGTGAGTGAGTATGTGCTTGTGTGTCTGTGTGATATGTATATACATACGTACATACGTGTATGTATACACTACACACACACACACATATGTATGTATGTATATATATTAATATATATATGTATATATATTGATATATATCAAATACTGAGCATTTATTATCCTGAAAATTAGTCACTCAAACCCAGAGTTCACCCGATTACCAATCACCGATTTAACTAACAACCCTTTGGAGTGTAAGAATCATACACATACTTATAACCAACCTAGGTATAGTAAGGTTTTTCCATTCTTCTGGTGACAGCGAAGTATTTTCAATGCCTGGGACGTGGCACCAGTAGTCTGGCACTTTCAGCTGGAACAATAAGAGGTTGACCTGGAAAACAAACGAATAGATGTATGAATCGATGAATAGGGACATTTGCAAGTAGATAGGAAAACCAAAGTCTCAAAGAGGGTACATTTTAAACACTTTGTTTTTCATTACAAACATGCCATGGCGTGCGAACCGTATCAAATAATAACAATGAAAGTACTTACATCCACGTATCCCAAAATAACAATAAGGTTAATACATCCACTTATCCAATAATAAAAATAATGTTACTTACGTCCGCGTATCCATGTATATTTGAACACAAAATAGGTGCAAATGCAATAGTGTATTTGTAAAATAATAGTCAAATTAGTAATTGTTGTTGCTGTAGTAGTAGTAATGATAGTGCTGCTGATGATTATAATAAGAAAAAAGATTATTATTATTGTAACAATGATGACATTATTAAGATGATAATAAATATTAATAATAATGCCGATGATGATAATGATTACAATAGCAATAATAATAATGGTAATAATAATAATAATAATAATAATATGGTAATAATAATAATAATATGGTAATAATAATGATAATGATGATAATATTAATAACAGTGATGATAATAATGATATTATTATCAATAATAATTATATTGATGAGAATAATATATGAATAATGATGATAATAATAATAATGATAATGGTAACAATGATGATAATATTGATAATAATACTAGAAAACATACTTAAAACAACAGTAATAACGATATTGATATTAATGATACTGATGATAATAATAAGGATGATAATATAATAATAATAATAATGATAGTAATGATAATAATGATAATGATGGTAATGATAGTAATGGTAGTGGTAATAATAATAACTTGGAGTGAATGAGTATGCGAGTCGGAGTGTGAATGAAGCCCTATGAAGCAGTGATGTATGTGCATTTGAATGAAATGAAATGTTGAATGGGTGAATGAGTAGAGAATGTCTGGTGCATATTTTTCTTTGCAAAATAGTTATAATGATTAAATTATAATGATTAACTAAGTGACCTAAAAAGTAGATATTTGATGTGACCATAGAAAAAGTAAAAAATAAATAAATAAATAAATGGAAAACGTGACAAAAACAAACAAACTAATAAATGGAATTATGGAAACGAGAAAAAATAGAAAAAAAAGAAAAAAAAAAAAAAACAGAATAGACGAAATAAGATATAAAAAATTACTATTGAATGACAAGGGGAATCCCCAGTGTGACGTCCCATTCACACTCGAACAGCTGCCGAGACAAGACGTATCCACCCGAATGGATAACAGCTACTATCTTAAACATCCTCGGTAAGGAACATGAGTTAGTTATAAACCTTGAAAAGTGACATTGACAAAGACCACCAAATAAAGTAAGATCGAGATAAAGAAGGGTTTATAACATTTCACAGGGTTTCTGGTGTGGAGTGAAGTGTCGTGCCACGTCACAAGTGCCACCGTGAGAAATCGCAAGCGTGAGGTATGAGGTGCGAGGCGCGAGGCACAGGGCGAGAGGCGCGAGGCGAGAGGCAGAAAAAGAAAGTGAAAAGAAAGTGATGCACAGTGAGATTTTTTACGTAAAATCGGTGAAACTTGTTGAATGTGATAAATAAATTTAGATGGTAATAGTGTTTCTTTCCATACCAATTGTTAAAATGAGCAAAAGCAGAGGTGATCCCCTAAAGGTTGTACTGGTGGAGGGCCCAGGCCAGTAATTGTGATCAATTTGCAACCTTTACATATATATACAATGATAGATAGATAAGTGGATATATCTATATCTACCTATGTATATATGTATATATATGTGTATGTATATATATATATGCATATATATATATGTACACACACACACACACACACACACACACACACACACACACACACACACACACACACACACACACACACACACACACATATATATACAGGATCAAAAACACTTCGTGGCAACCCCTTCACACACACTCCCATCTCCGCAATACCCTCGCCACTCATGAATCAACAAGAACTCACCGTGAAGCCAATGAAGAAACTGATAGGTCCGACGACCCCAAACACAAGCCACCGTTGGTAAGGTCCGTGACTCCCAACCAAAGTCATTAACTCGTCGAAGTCTTTCATTGTATATCTGATCTGTGAAAAGAAATGGAATATTAAAGAATGGGGAAAATACGGGTACACTAATGCAGAATAAACCTCGCACGCGCGCGTGCGCGCACACACACATAAAAATAGATTCCGAGGCACTAAATAGCGTCCAGATTTCGCTTCCAGAAAGGAAAACTGGCAGTATCAAAGCCTTATAAACACGTAGTTTGGTCCTTCTGCATAAGTACCGACATCTCCAAATGCTCTTGTTGATTGAGTTCATGGCTCTTGCTGCCAGATCAATCCGTCTACTGACTTCTCGGTCTGACAACCCAGAGACATGAACTACGCTACCACGAACTACGCGTCCTCACCGTAAGCATGTACCGAGTGAACAGGTTCCCCTAACAGGTCCCCAAAGTCATGAATCTTGGTTTTGGTCCAGGAGACCTCGAGGCCCAAAGGCTTCGCCTCATTGCTAAATGCATTATGAGCCGCCACCAGTGATTCTAGAGACTCAGATAGGATAGCAACATCGTCGGCAAAATCAAGGTATGTGACCTTGATAGCAGCTCTGCCCATTATCCAGTTGTTGGTGTTGAAAAGTGTTGATGCAAGGAAACAGCTTTGCCTCAACCCTGAATTAACAGGTTCCCACCACACTTTACAGCGCTTTCAATACTGGTATATAGGCTTGCTATTGGGCCAATAAATCATTTGATTCCATTTGTTACAATGGTTTTGGTGTGACATACTGTCTGTTTCATTTTGCCTCTAAGTTATCCCCTGTGTGCAAGGAATACCCACGGTTACCATCCACTGGCAGCATGGGATTTGAACGCAGGTCAGGAAGATTGCCAGACGAGGTTGCTAAGTCTCTGAATATCCCATAGAGATTCTCCATGCACCGAGTCAAACGCCTTCTTGAGGTTGATGTAGGCTGCAAGCAACTCACGATGGCATTCCACAATTACGGTCTATTCTGGACTTGCCAGGGGTGAGTCCAGACTGCTCTGGTCTCTTAGTAGGTGCACACGGATCCATTTCAGAAGAATGTAGGCGAAAACCTTGCCTGGTATTCTGAGCAGTGTAATGTCACGGTAGTTGCTATAGTCCCAACAATACCTTTTCCCCTTCCAGAGAGGGATGACCACACCCCTCAACAGGTCAGGGAGAGTGGAACCAGACTGCCAGATGGAAGTCAAGACTACAAACCTTGTGCCATAGATTCATCTCAAGAATTTAGCACTTCAGCAGGAATATCACATATGCCTGCGGCTTTCCCATTTTTCAGCTTATAAATCGCCATCCTAACTCCAATTAGGCTAGGAGGTTCCTTGCTCACAGGTAGGTCCAGCACAGGTATTGTGATACCATTCGCATCCAAACTAACTGTTGGAGGATCTACCTGGTATAGCTGCTCAAAATACTCAGCCCAATGTTCACGAACCACATGATCTGAGATGATCTGTCCATCCACTGAGCAGACTGTAGTCATCTGTGAGGAGGGCTTGGAGTTTTCTCAGGGCTTGGTAGACAGGGCAAAGGTCAGCAAAGTTCCTGATGAACTGTTCCTTGTACCTTCTCAACAATAGCCGAGCCCTACGTATCAAAAAAGAGCGCAAGTCCTGATTGCCATTCAGCCAAGACATGTGACACACTTCAGTGACCTCCAATGTCTCCGGGGAGATGAAATTCTGCCATGCCCTGCATGAATACACCTTGCAGCTAGCAACACGTCTCTTTGGTCCTCTATTCTAGCAAGACAGGCGGCCTGATCCCGGCCCGGTCACGGTCAATCGGCTGGTCTCCCTCGGGAGGCTAGGGTCAAGCAGTCATTTCTGCCATTGGCACTCACAATGGTCCGTGAGCGCCGTCACAATGGTTATTGGCTGCGTGTATCCTCTCATCACCCCTGTTGCTGTTAAACACTGGCTCTGACACTCACCTTCCCCATGTTGGACTCCATGGTGGGTGGGGGCGTCAGAGGATGAAGCACTGTCCTAGTATGTGGAAAATTTAAACCAAAACCCCCCCACAGACAGAAACCATTGTTGACGAACCTTGCAGGGCCCAGATCACAGCAGCCACCATGTCTTATGTGCCTCCTGGTGCCAAAAGAAAGCCCCAAGCACAGGATGATGCTGTCATGCTTGCGGCCAAAATGGACAAGACATCCAAATCCAATGGGTCCACAAGATAGTCCAACAGATGGACTCTCGTGCTGGCCTTTCCAGGCCAGCAGCCAAGCCAGGGAGGCCCCTGAGTTTTCCTCAGACGACCTCCAAGACTGGAAAGGGAGCACAGGCTGAACCAGCCGAAACAGCTGCTGCGCCCACAAACAAGTCCCAAAGCCGAAAGGGTGGGCCGAAACGTCCGAGGCCGGAGAGAGACTCTGATGGAGAGTCTGTACCACCTAAACGTTTCCCCCCATTTAAGGTGCCAGCCAAACCCAACGGCTTTGACACTGCCTACCAATTGGTCAGGGCATTGGAGAAGCTGAGGCAAATCCGGCTTTCAATCCGGTTTGCCCGAGATCAAGGCATGATCATAATGCTGAAAGATCAGGCCGAATGTCGAAGGGGAAGACTCCAACCAGGCAGGTTCTGGTGACCATGAAAAGTACCTCAACCACTACCATTGATCTAGGTAACTGGGGTACCTACAACCTTCAAACTTACGTGCCCGAACCACTTCAGTGTTTCAAGTGCCAGAAGTATGGTCACCACCAGGCAAGCTGCACAGCTAAGCCTGACTTGCTCAGTCAGGAAAGAGGCGGTCCTCAGGCGACAAGAAGTTGCTCAAAAGCGACTTATCTTTGTTCCTGCTCCCCCAGGCACACATGCCTGGGGAAAGAACAAGTGCAAAAAGGCTTCCCAACCTCCTAAGAGGAAAGAAGCCGTCCCACAGCCGACACTGGATGTTTCCGGCCATGCCCAAAAAACAGAAAAAGAACCAGAGGTTCTAAAAACGCTTCAAAACCCTCCACAAGAGATGATGATCTCTTTGATGAGGCAGATGTGACTCTCCTGGTGAGTGCTGTAGTCACAGCAGTGGTAACAGTCGCAGTCCTGAAGGGAAGAAAGCTGGAAAGGGCAAAACCAGCCACACCTTCAGCCCAGGACGAGACTCCCCACCCCACTCCAACTCAGGCCGAACCTGTGCAGCCAGAGCCGGAGCACGCTGACCTTGCCCAGGCAAGAACAGCAAAGAAAAACGGACAGATAAAGCCTGAGAAAGAAGCCAAAGTAACCAAAGTCAGAGCTACCAAAGGCTCTCCACCCCCCAGTGGACCCAGGGATAGCCTGACAACAGATGAAGACCCCTCGACCAGTGAGGACTTGGAGTTGTCAGACTCCGATTCTCAATCCGAATACAACGATGTCTCTGATGCAACTATCATCTAGTAACATCATGCCACACAACCTAAGTATCCTATAGTGGAACATCAAAGGCTTCTCCGGAAGGAATGCCATTCTCCAAGCAGTAGTGCGATCAAGGAACATTGACATTGTCATGCTCTAGAAGACACTAACAGTGGACACTACACTTCTCAGGGTATCATGTTTTCATGTTGCCACAAACACTTGGCAAGAGAGGCTTGATCACCTTTGTCAAAGCTTCAATGCACACCACCCCATCCTGGCTCCCTGCCGGGCACCGGATGTGGCTGGCCTTCACATAGCCAACATGCTTGAGACTGATATCTCTCTCCTCAATACCCAAGAGCCAACACATGTCAGAGGAAGAGTCCTAGACCTCACCCTGGCCACTGCGACTCTGGTGGAGAGGATTAGCTTGTGTGTCGATGAGACCGTCACAAATGACCCTTATGGTACTGTAACTACCCTCATGGATGCTGGCCCAGCCGAAATACCACGACCAAAACCAAGATGGAAAACAGACAAGGCCAACTGGCAGGCGTTGCAGAATGCCTTGGCCCACTGTCTGAGACCCAATGTACCCACACAAGGTGAAAATGTGGAAGTGCTTGAAGCCAGACCTATAGAAGCCATTAATCAAGCAGCCTCACTGACCATACCCAAAACTCGGCCTGGGTCCAGGAGTCACAATGATGCCTGGTACTTTAACAACGAGATTAGGAAGGTTAACCACAGGGTAAACATGTACCGAGAACTATTCCGAAGGCAAAGAACCCCTGACAACCTCGCACTGCTAAGGTAGGCTATCAGGGATGCCAAGGAAACTGCCAACAGAGTCAGGCAGGAAAAGTGGCTGAAATAGTGTGAGTCCTTCAACCACCAAACCACCCTTTCAGAGCTATGGCAATGGGTCAGGCGAGCTACCAGCCACTCAGCCCCGAGGTGCATGCATCATGACCCTCAAGCAGAGGCAAACAGACTAGTGCACAAGTTCTCTGCGAGAACAAGCAGCAACAGTCTGCCAGCCGAGCTGAGGGCAAGACAAGAACAACTTGCTCAGATCAGAGAAAGGGCAGCCGAACCCAATAACTCAACGTCTATCTTTTCTCTGAGGGAACTAAGAAAAGCCTATAAAACCAGTTCCAATACAGTCCTGGGCTCTGATGGGATCTCATACCCCATTATCTCCCACCTAGGACTAGAAGGTGAGCTTGCACTCTTGAACTCATCACCAAGTCCTGGGAATCTTCCATTCTTCCTCAGAGTTGGAAGAGGGCTACCATAGTTCCCATCCCAAAACCAAAGGAGCCAGGGAAGTACCACCCTATCTCTCTCCTCAGCTGTCTGGCCAAGCCGGCTGAGAGGAAGGTACTAAACCAGCTCCAATGGAAAATGGGACTCCCACACGAACACCTTCACAGGTTCACCAAGGGGATGAGCACAGTGCACAGCATAGCCACACTCTTAAGTACAATCAGTACAGGCACATCTGTGGTAGTATTCCTGGAGCTGGAGAAGGCCTTTGAATTAACAAGACCCCTTGCCATTAAGAAGAGCCTGATCCTGAAAGGAAAATCAGAGGAAAGCTCTTGGCTTGGATAGGTGACTACTTCAGGAACAGAACAGCCAGAGTCAAATTCCAGGGTCACCTATC